ACTTTCTAAACCAAAAGATAAACAATGCAATCAGGCATTCAAATGTCATTCAAATCAAAGTTTAGTGATTTTTTTTCACAGATAAATGCTCTTATTCTACATATCAGTAGATCTTTGATCTGTGTTCTCTGTATGTTCTCACTCTCTAAAGTACAAGCTCTATACCTTGTGTAATGGGTGTTTATTCTGTGTAACAGCAGCTCTGTGTGTGTTCTTTGAAGAAGCATGTGTTTATTCTGTGTAGCAACAGATCCATGTCTGTGTTCATTCTCTGCAGCAGCAGATTTGTGTTCATTCTCTGTAGCAGCAGAACTATGTCTGTGTTCATTCCATGTGGCAGTGGAACTATGTCTCTGTTCATTCTGTGTGGCAGTAGGTCTATGTCTGTGTTCATTCCATGTGGCAGCAAAACTATGTATTCATTCTGTGTAGCAGCAGATTTATGTAGTTGTGTTCATTTTCTGTAGCAGTTTAGGGAACTATATACTGTGTATTCAGAATAATGCCGACGTTGTGGCACCCAGAACTATGTCTGTGTAGTCATTCTGTGTGGCAGTAGATCTATGTCTGTGTTCATTCTGTGCAGCAGCAGATCCATGTCTGTAGATTTATTCTGTGTGAAGCAAGAGAATGGCAGAAACATGTCTCACAGGAAGGGTGGTTCATTCTGACACCTTGCAGCAGGCAGGGATGTTTGTGTTCATGTCTGTGTAGCAACAGATCCATGTCTGTGATCATTATGTGTGGCAGCAGATCCATGTCTGTGTTCATTCTGTATCGAGCAGCAGGTTTATGTATGTTAATTCTCTGTACGCAGCAGAACAATGTGTGTGTTCATGACGTGTGGCAGCAGAACTGTGTCTGTGCTTTCATTCTTTTGTGGCAGCAGAACTAGTACCAGGAGATTTTATTTATTACAGGTATTTCTATAACACCGTCCATTTATGCAGCACTTTTACATATAAATCCGATATTGTACATTCACAATCAGTCCCTAACCCTCAAGAATGGGCGTACAATCTAAGGTCCCTAACTTACATTCATACATACACATGCTATGCTGTGGGACAACTTTAGATATTTGGATCCAATTAAGCCTACCAGCATGTCTTTGGACTGTGTGGGAGGAAACCCACACAGGCAGTGTGGAGAACATTCAAACTCCAGGCAGTTGGTGCCATGGATCCATGTTGTGATTCAAACCAACGATTCTGTATAGCCTAGTACTCTGTACCAGCAGACAGACGTGCTAACCATTTAGCCACTGTGCTGCCTATTATGTCTGTGTTCAAGGGGCGTACAATCTAAGGTCCCTAACTTACATTCATACATACACATGCTAGGGACATTTTTCTGTGTGCGCAGCAGAATACTATGTCTGTAGACAGGTTCACTCTGGAGTGTGGCAGCAGAGAACATTCAAATATTGGTGTGTTCATTCTGTGTGACAGCAGCTAACCATTTATGCTGCCTGTCTTTTCATTCTATGTGGCAGCAGTATGTCTGTGACTCTGTGTGAGCTATATTGGTGTTCATTCTGTGTGACAGCAGAACTATGTCTGTTTTCATTCTATGTGGCAGTAGATCTGAGTCTGTGTTCATTCTGTGTGGCAGCAGATCTATGTCTGTGTTTATTCCATGTGGCAGTAAATCTATGTATGTGTTCATTCTGTGCAGCAGGAGCAGATCTTTGTGTTAATTTTGTGTACTAGCAGATCTATGCCTGTGATCATTCTGTGTGTGTGTATTGTATGTGCCTTCATTTTCTATCTCTGTTTTCAGTGTACTAGCAAGTCTATGTCCTCCTGAGCTCTGTGTAGTGTAGGACTGGGAACCTTTGCCATGGGGGCCAAACACAACCAACTGGCCATTTCATGGTAGAAACAGATTTCTATGGGTTAGACAAAGTGTACCACACAAAGTTTGTCATGGGACTGCAATGATTGGCAGCCTTGGTAAAAGGCATTATTTAGGGTGACACACATTACCATTTACCAACATCAGCTTCATTTGTGGTCCTTGGCATTCAGTCACACGGTAATGTAAAGTAGCAAAGGAAGTAAATGGTGGAAGATGTCCCTTAAGACAGTATTAAACCCCAAAACAAATATTTATTATATTGCAGCTTACCAATTCTTAGATGTGAAGGCTGTGTTAGTTTTCTTTTTTTTTTTACTTTCTTTCTTCTGTTTTCACCTGGTGATTCAGCCAGCAAGTCTACTGTGTATCAGAAGCTCAAGCTTCAGCAGAATGTATCAGTTTACATGGATGGGGCCATCCATTTACCAATGGCATAAGTGATTCAAATTATCAGCTTTTATTCATTCATGTACAACCTTTATCTCAAAAGGAAAAAACTGCATGCTGTAACTGATTATAAGGGGGGGGAGGTAGCAGGCGTTTAGTTTCTTTTAATCATTGTATTCACATCTGCTAATAGATTTAACACTACCATCCACTCAGGTTGACAATGCTGCTGTCTGCTGTGCTCTGTGCTCATTTCTCCAGAGTGGTGTCTCAGTAATACAAGAGGTGTGTTACTGGCCAGATCACCAGGTGAAAACAGAGGGGAAAAAGCCAAAGAAAAAAAAAAATAGTGCAGCCACCACATCTAATGATTGGTAAGCTGCAATATAATACATTTTTGGTTTGGGGTTTAATTCTGCTTTAACCTAGCTCTGTGGTCACAGATCTGAACAGGGTGCAGTAAGCTGTATTATATCAAGCACATATCCATCATCGTGGGTCCCACTCCCAGCAATGTCTGCCTATTCATTCTGTGTAGCAGCTTAGTAGCAAACGTTGAAGCTGAAGTTTAGATATGGCAATTGTTGCATTGTTACATCAGTTCAGCTTGAAGCAATGTAAATATGTATGTGCCAAACCTATGGGATATATATGGAAGCTTCTAAATCCATGTAGTAGGTACAGCTAATAAAGTGATCACCAATAGTTTCCAGGTCCTGTTCCCGTTGGCTCTGCTGCTGCATTCTGAACACAAAAGCCATAGATGATTTGATCTTCTTTCCTGCAACCATGCTTGATTCTCCCATCAACACAGTGTTGATGTGAGAATCCCTCCTGCAGAGCTATTGTGTTCTGCCAGCAGGGAGTACAAGCATTCTTTACTGCATATACAGACTGATTATACTGTTGTAGGTTTAGTAACACTTTGTGTAAAAAATGCCATTCCCAAAACCAGCTTTAAAACACCCTGTGCTGGCAGCACCTTGGAGAGTCGGACTGCTGTGTTCACACACAAGCAGTGACCTACCCCCCCCCCCCCCCCTCCAATCAGCAGTGCTCTAACTGTACGAGGGGGCATGTCAGACTGCTGGAGACCCACTGTGTGCAAGTGTAGTGGTGCCAGCACAAGGTGTTTTAACCACTTGCCCTCCAGAGGATTTACCCCCCCCCCTTTTTTTGCGTTACAGTGCTGCACAATTTTAATTGACAATTACGCGGTCATACAACGCTGCACCCAAATTAAATTTACGTCCTTTTTTCCCCACAAATAGAGCTTTCTTTTGGTGGTATTTGATCGCCTGTGCCTTCTTTATTTATTGCGCTATAAACAAAAAGTGTCCGACAATTTTGAGAAAAAATTTTTTTTTACTTTTTGCTATTAAACATGTCCAATAAAAAAAAAAAAATGAAATTTCGTCATATATTTAGGCCAGCCGCGAGCATGCCCTACCCATGCCACCATTCGCGGTCTTGGCTATCAATCACTGGGTCCCAGCCACTGATTACTTGCCGGCACCTGGTGATCGTGGAGGGAGAGAACTGTATGTAAACAATACAGATCTCTCCCCTGTCAGCTCTTGCACATTGCCTTGTATGGCTCTGCATAGCAGAGCCTTACAAAGCAATGTGCTTACAGTGGAAAGCACACATACTGTGAAACAGCACACAGTTAACCCTTTGATTGCCTCACATGTTAACCTCTTCCTGTCCAGTGCCATTAGTAGTGTCAGTGCTTTTCATTAGCACTGATCACTGTATTGGTGTCACTGGGGATGAGAGTGACCAGGGGCGGACTGACCATTTGGAAAGTCGGGCACTGCCCAAGGGCGCGGGGTCAATAGGGGGCCCCATGAGATGCCCCTGGTACCTTTTTCATAGGCTTTTTTGAGTTTGGGCAAGGGGGACACAGGGGCCCCATGATCCCCTATTGCCCGGGGGCCCCATGAGTTGTCAGTCCGCCCCTGTCAGTGACACCAAGTCAGTTCCCCCCAGTGTCAGAATGCCCGTCGCAGTCCCGCTATAAGTCGCTGATTGACGCCATTACTAGTAAAAAAAAAGATTCCAGTATATATACCGCCATTTGAAAACGCTATAACTTTCACGTAAACCAATTAATTTACACGTATTGGGATTTTTTTCAGCAAAGACATGTCGCAGAATACATTTTGGCCTAAATGTATGACAAAATGAGATTTTTTTAAAAAAAAAATTATTATTATTAATAGCAAAAAGTCAAAAATGTTTTTTTCTCAAAATTGTTTTTTTTTTAATAGCGCAAAAAATGAAAAAGGCACAGGCAACCAAATACCACCAAAAGAAAGCTCAATTTGTGGGGAAAAAATGATGTAAATTTCATTGGGGTGCAGCGTTACATGACCAGTGACAACTTACAATTGTCAGTTAAAGTAACTCAAAGAAATGGCCTGGTCAGGAAGGGGGGTAAATCCTCTAGGGGGGGGCAAGTTAAGAGAGAAGCTGATTGGTTTCTGTACCCGGCTTCCCCTCACTGTGTCTGACGTGGTGATGTCTCCCCTTCCTGTATCAGCTCTGTGCTGCACCCTTGTATCCTCCATGTGCGTCCATACAATAATAATAACAGTCGTCCCTGTGTACCTAGTCCTTGTGCTCAGCTCTCACTTCAAGCCATCCCGGGTCTATTGGCGCTCTCCACCCTCCCCATCCACCTCACACCCACACAGAGGACCCTCCCCTCGCAGCGGATTGGCCGACACAGTACCGAAGCCCCTCCCGCAGCCCGGCCCCGGAATAAAGTGGCCCACACACCCTGTACAGGTAGCATCACCGATCCGCTGACATTACTCCGCTCCACACCGTTCTGTCGCTTCTTCTCCCAGCCCGCGGCGGTCTCGCCCTCCTCCTCCTCCTTCTCGCCTGGCCTCTGCTGGACTTGCCGTACAGAGACTATGGCCACCACGGTGCTGACCATGAGTACCAGGCTGGGACGCTTGGACGAACCTGTCTTCACACAGCTCAAACCTGTGCTTGGGAATGGGGGGCAGCCGCCCACTAGAGGGGAGCCCTCCACCGGGGGAGCGGTGTTCGCCGAGGACATGAAGAGCTCCCGGATGTTACCCGATGACATGGCCCAGGTAAGGGACACTGAGGGACGGGGTCCGAGCACAGCACGTGTGACAGCCGCCTTCTCGCCTCTACACGGGGTCCTTCTTATCACAGGTGACAGGGGGCGCCACACCCCATAGTCTGCCCATCACACTACACAGGACAATGCCGGGGATCGGCCTGTCTATGGGAGCAACTGTCCGCCTGTCACCCACACACACACTGCTGTCCTGGAGGAGATCCACACCACACAACAGCTGGCCGAGCTAAATCCAGAGCGAGCGCACAGGCTGCACCGTGTGTACGGGGATAGATATGGGGGGGGGGGGGGGCATGGAAATAATAATTAGAGGGAGAAGAGGGTGCACGATACATACTGTCTTCCAACCACATGTCTATCTCATATGTGTTTATGTATGGGGGGGGGGGGGGGTGTATATATTCATTATTGTTGTTATCACATTTTATCTGTGTTATGATTGTCATTACATTCTTACTCCTTTCTTTCATTTTTCTTTCTTTCTCTCTCTCTCTCTCTCTTTCTTTTCTTTCTCTTTCACTCTTTCTTTTCTTTCTCGCTCTCCCTTTCTTTTCTTTCTCCCTTTCTTTGTCCCTCTCTTTTCTTTTTCCCTTTCTTTTCTTTCTCTTTCCCTCTCTCTCTCCCTTTCTTTTCCTTCTCTCTCTCCCTTTCTTTTCCTTCTCTCTCTCCCTTTTTTTTCCTTCTCTCTCTCCCTTTCTTTTCCCTCTCCCTTTCGCTTTCCCTCTTTCTTTTCCTTCTCTCTCTCCCTTTCTTTTTCTCTCCCTTTCTTTTCTTTCTCTTTCCCATTTTCTCTCCCTTTCTTTTCCTTCTCTCCCTTTCTTTTCCTTCTCTCCCTTTCTTTTCCTTCTCTCTCTCTCCCTTTCTTTTCCTTCTCTCTCTCTCCCTTTCTTTTCCTTCTCTCTCTCTCCCTTTCTTTTCCTTCTCTCTCTCTCTCCCTTTCTTTTCCTTCTCTCTCTCTCCCTTTCTTTTCCTTTCTCTCTCTCTCCCTTTCTTTTCCTTCTCTCTCTCTCCCTTTCTTTTCCTTCTCTCTCTCTCCCTTTCTTTTCCTTCTCTCTCTCTCTCTCCTTTTTCTTTTTTTTTTTTCTCTCTCTCTCTCCTTTTTTTCCTTCTCTCTCTCTCTCCCTCTCTCTCTCTCTCTCTCCCTTTTTCTTTCTCTCTCTCTCTCTCTCTCCCTTTTTCTCTCTCTCTCTCTTTCTCTCTCTCTCTCTCTCTCTCCCTTTCTTTTCCTTCTCTCTTTCATTCTTCCTTTCTCTCTCTCTCCTCCCTCCCTGTCACTACCTAACTGTTCCCATTCCTTGCCTGCTGTCTTTATCACCTCTCTTTCTCTCTCTGTCAGTATTATTACCCAAGAGTTGTCTCCTGATATAGTGGTGGGATGCAGGAGTAGTATAACTGATGTTGCCGATAGGATGTACACATCTTTTCCTGTCAATATGTAATCTGCATGCTCCGTCTCCCCACCACGCTGTATACCTCCCTACAACCACGAGCGGCCAGTGTTCTGTTTTTGGGAAGAGACGTTTTCCCTCCATGCTGCTTCCCAGTGAATTATTACACTTGTTTTCCATTTGTCAGCTGATTCATTTTGGAGAATGCTGAGGGGATTAGGAATGACTGAAGATTTTACAGTGCAAGGGGGAATGTAGCATTTGTCCATTGAAGAGTACATGATAAATGTTTTTCTGATGACTGTACTGGTAAGATCAGCCTGCAGCCACCCCCGGCCTACAATGCACCACTTGTGATCGGCAGATCTGCTTGATATGTATCTGGCCACAGAATATATATATACCACATAGGCAAAGATTACTTCTTCACTTTCTGCAATTAGTATTGTTTATTGAGAACTAAGCAGGTCATGTATAACCCTGAGAGCTTGTGTGGAGAACCAGCAATGTCATTACTCTCAGTCTTGAGTTGTATGAGGCCAAAGTTATATCCTTTTATCATCTTTAGTTATTGTAGGTATTTATATAGCACTGTCCATTTACATTCATATCAGTCCCTGCTCTCAAGGAGGTTCCATCTTCTTGAAGGTATGAAAAGAAAGACATAAAGTCCCTATCTCGTAAACACACTAGGGCCAATTCATTTACCAGTATTTCTTTGGAGTGAACAGGGAGAACATGCAAACTCCATGCAGTTACCATCCTAACTGGGATTCAAACCAGGGACCCCAGTGCTACAAGGCACAAATACCAACCACTGTATTGCCCCTCCTATTTACCCTTTACTTAATACCTCATATAAGTAAAGAAAAGGGAAACCTAATATTTGGTTGTCAATTAGTGACAGCTTCCATGTAGGGTACTCCAGTATATCTAGTTGGCTCCTCTAAACAAAAATTTGCAGGGGTTCATCCAACGTGCCGTCTTATTTATATTCTCTAATTGTCCCAATAGGATGTGTCTTGAGAAGTAAGAAAGGCGTGGATCAGGTATACCTGTTACAATATATGGTTATTATAAGTGGAATATAATTGGCACACAGCATGTTGTTGTACATGTAAATAATTGATGTTCTTCTTCTTTCATCTTCAGACTAGATGCGAAATGGATAAGTATCTTTCACCTCACCCAGCTTCAGTTTGCATGATCCAAGATCAGAAGAAATACAGGAGGGACAGTGCATCGGGTATTGATCAGTTCTTCAATGACAGCGATGGACTGCCTTACAGTATCAACATGAACGTCTTCCTCCCAGACATCACGCATCTCAGAACAAACTTGTACAAGGCTCAGAGGCCTACAGTCACCCACATTAAGACGGAACCTGCTTTCAGCCAGCAGAGCGAACCAGCGGTCACTCAGCCTCTTCCAGAATTCACCAGCATCTTCAGCAACCACCAGAACGCAGATCTAAATAACATTTACATCAAACAAGAGATGCCATCGCCGGAAATCCAGATCCCTGTCAACCACCAGCACGGTCAGCTGTACCAGTTGTTGAGTTCGTCAGAAATGGACCTAAGTTCCACAAACCAAACACCGGTGATGGACACTATGAGCAATGCTTCCTTGTCTGCAGAACTAACTGGATTCAACACACTCCCCACCCCTGTAACACAGACTGCAATGAAGCCATTTCAGGGCATTCCCCAATGTTCATATAATATGCATGGGCAGTTCATGCAACAGCAAGAAGGGACCTACTTCCCACCTTCTCCTCCCAGCTCAGAACCTGGTAGCCCAGATCGGCAAGCAGAAATGCTCCACAGCTTAAATCCACCACCTTCTTATGCAGCCACCATTGCTTCCAAGATGGCCATTCACAATCCGGCCTTAACTACTTCAGTGCAAATGGCACCAACTACCATTCAGTCTGTTCGCTACAACCGCAGAAACAATCCAGATTTGGAGAAAAGACGAATTCACTATTGTGATTATCCCGGTAAGCTGGGGTTTGTAGTTTAAAACATACTAAGATAATTTGAGATTGTTATATGTTAATTACTGACTATTAGTAAAGGATTCGTCTCTAAACTATTCAATTAATGTTTGCTATCAGGTGGGTAAAATTACACCTCTTCCTCCTTCGGGCTCTTGAATAAGGTCATGTCTGGCCGTATAGCCTAAATTCCAACTTATTGCCAATCCAGGAAGAGCACATGTATGTATGCATATGGGCATACAACTCTTGATGCAGAAATCTGAGAGCTGTACACCTGTATGCTAACGTGTTTACACAGGTACTTGCATATACAGGTGTATAGCCATACAGGGAGACACACCGGATATTACGGCATAAACCCTTTACATTTTTTCTATGTCTCTCACAGTTTGCTTTGCACTTGCCTCTGAACTTGCCAGCCCCACAAACTTCATTGTCTGATTGGAACTTTGGGAGTAGTGATGAGCTTGGGTGTGTTTGGGATAGGATCCAACCCCATATGTGCATGCCCACCAGGATGTTGTCACCTGTACAGGCCAGCCTTCTGCAGACTGGGCACTGCCTTGCCACAGCCCCATGTATACAAGGAGCGTGTATTCACAGGGCTTCAAGGTAGGGAATGCCCAAGCTGCACATGTTTGGCCCATACAGGTGACAGCTTCCTGGTGGGCTTCCACATGTGGGTTTGGATCCTAGTCCAAACATGCCTGAGCTCATCACTGATTGGGAGCAGCAAGGGAAGAAAACAGCTTCAAGGGTTTATCTACATTTTTATATCAGCTGGCCTAATCTTCGAACACAAAGCAAACCGTTTTGGGTTGAATTTATCATATAAGGCAGCACTCCAGGCTAGAAACAATATTTTTTTGGTAATGAATGCTTTTCAAAATGTAAATGTTGTGGTTTTGGTTTTAAAATCCTTTTTTGCTGAAGTTTATCTTCATTTTCTTTCACACAGTGCTGTCTGTCCTGTTAGAAAAGACCAAGTTATGGAAGGGATTCGGGGCCACACCTTTTGATGCTGTAGTATGCCATGGGACCTCTGAGGAGCTAGCATTTAGTACCTTCACTGGGGTTGTTGCAATAAAACAAGTAAATTCACTGATTTTAAGCTGAATTTAAGAAATAAGACAAAATGTAGCTTTGCAGAGCTGCTGATACTCAACCTACACCCCACAAGAACAGTTAATTGTGTGCTACAACAATGAAATGCTAGTTGGTCAAGGGATGGAGGTTAATACTTAACCCATCCCTTGGGTAAGCAAGTTTCAGCACTGTTCTTTTCTACATCGAAGCTTCAATCTGTGGGCGGTCTCTGCATCACCATGTACAATGCAGGAGGCAAGCATGTGAATGGAGCTGAGAGCACCTTAGGGAGGCAGTGGCAATGGATTGAAGGAGCCTGCCAGAGAGATACTCCTAGACTACATGAACATTTATTCCTTGTAGTAGGACCCAATGATATATTTTATCTAATTCCTGGAGTGTAGCTTTAACTGTTTCCCAAAACAGCTACATTTAAAGTGGTTGGAAAGGCTCCAGGTTTTTTACCTTTATACATTCTATGCATGAAGGTAAAAAAAACCTATTGTGTATAGCAGCCCCCCCTAGCACTTACCTGAGCCCCCTCCAGCGATGTTCACGAGATCTTTGGTTCTCTGAGGAATTTCACTCCTGATTGGCTGAGGCAGCAGCCAGTGAGCTAATCAGGAGAGGAAGGGGGCGGAGCTACTAACGTCAGCTTGTTCAATTAAGCTTTGACATAAAAAGAGATGGAATTGGGTTGGCTTCTCTGTAGAGCTGCACTAGATTTTGTACTCTGCTTTTAGTAAATCAGCCCCATAGTATACTCCTGTAATAAAAAAAAAACTGCCTGCCCACTATTTTTTTTTTTTTTTTTTTTATGTTGAATGTTCTACTTTGAAGTGCACACGTAGGCACCCCACTGCTGGCAGTCTGTCAGTTAAAGTTCATGTAAACCCATTTACTAGATTCTTGTCATCTTTAACATTTTATTGTAGGTTGAAAATCCAGTTTCATATTTCTGACAGTAGTTTTCATTAAAAAAAGTGCCTATTGATCATGCAGTGAAGATCTTTGTGCAGATACCTCCTATTAGGTGGCAGTTCTCTTCTCCTGTCCCCCATCTGTATTCCTATGTTATCCTATCACATAGGCTTGTGATGGAGACAACAAGTGTCTGTGTGAACGCACATTGCACTGTGTCACCATCAAAAAATTCACTATGGGAAATTTCATGCAACCATGATAGTTGTGGCTGTAGGAGGCCAGCAGCATTGAGATGCAACAAAAAATGAAAACAAGGTGAAAAAGGTATTTTATTAAAGAAAAAAATATGTCAGTTTTTTCTGCTACACAGTGCTTTAGCAAATTAAATGTCATTCATTTAGGGTTTACATCTACTTTAGCCATGTCCTCAAACCCCACTGTGTCTTGGCATAAGCAATGTCTGGGCACAGTTTTTAAACTATTTAGGACATACATATGTGCTGTGAGATGACACTAACAGTGGCACAACCGCTGCCATGTTAGAGCGGTGTCACCACTGTCATCTCTGCGGTTACCTGGCTTTCAAGTGGGGACAGACAATTATTGGGAAATTGAAGAGAAGATGTATTATCAGACAACATGCCTTGGCGATCAGCTTCCTTTATTCACATATCATAATTTGACACTGGATGTCTGATAGCACCAGTATGGTTTGGACTTTGTAAGTTGTGCATTAGTCCTGGTTAAAAAAGTGGAAATATTTTGTACATATTGTCTGATGTGTTCACCTTCAGAGATGTTTTGGAGGTCCTGCTTAGTTAGTCTGAAGTGTCATCATTTCTTATGTCTGCCAAATAATCCCCTTATTTCCTGCCAAAGTCTTGCTGTCAATCTTCTTCAAGTCTGATAATCCTCTCATAATACAGAAGTTTCGGGGTGTGGCCTCACAGAAGACCAGAGTCAGGGGCATAGGAGAGAAGCAGGTTTTAGAGTATAAAAATGATAGGCAAGTGATCAAGTATTATTACACTTTGATCATTAATAACTGTGCATGCTCGTGTACAATCAACGCAGTGCAAAGGACAGTTTTTTAAAGTAGATGTAGGGCCCTTTCTAAATGACGTTTAGTTTGCTAAAGTACTGTGCATCATAAACAGTTGCCACATGTTTAAAATAAAACCTTGGATTTTACTTTATGCATCACAATGCTGATGATCTGTTGCAGACTCTTAGCATTCTCTTCCCACTTCCTGCACTTCCGCTTTATGCGTTGCCTGCATTGCATTTCCTGATGGTGACAACAGTGGACCAAGCCTGTGTAATGTGTGTTGAAAAGGTTGCTTGTAGTCAGAAGCCCATGTGCTAGAGTGACAATGCAGGAGCACAAATGGGAGACAGGGCAGAATGTTGTCACTCAATAACAGGGAGTGTCTGAACAAGGACCTTCATGATGGGATCAAAAAGTATTATTATTATTCAGATTTTAAAAATTACTTTTTAAAATTACATTGCCATGTTAAGCATTATATGAATGATGATGTTAGTGGTCGAGTTTAAATATACTTTCACCCCTTGGCACTGGCTCCCACTGGCCCTGTATAGGCTTGTAAAAGATAGGAAGTGGGTGTAAGCTCCCTAATCATGTGATCACTATGATTTGGTGGTCACAAGGGTCACATGATAGGGAGACCCTCTCACTGGCTCCTGATTGTAAATGTTGACTAGGAGCTGTTGGTGTCAGCTTACAGTACAGAACATTGGGGTCGGCTGACACATATATGCGTACAGCCAGGGCTAAGGCCCACTTGCTGTGCTGGTATTCATGTGTTACTCTGGCAGGAAGGGGTTAATTTTGCTTCAAAAATAGAGAATTGTGAAATATTGTCTGCAACAGGAAGCATATATGTGTATACTAAAATAACTGTCTGTATACAAATCCTTCTGCAAGAGCCAAGGGTGTGTCATTGCCTAAATCATGTTTGTCCATGCTCTTAATCTGGACTTGGTGTAGGCCAAAGTAGCGATAATGTGGCTGCTTACACAGCTGACATGTGAGTGCATTTTAAAAAAAAAACAAAAAACATTTGATTTAAAGGGCTTTACACTTCTCATGTAAACATTGATTCCCACTATGGATGGAGATCGACAACAAAAGTTGTGAAAAGTGTGGGTAAGGTAAAGATGGGTCTCTTGAGTGAGGCAAAGATGTTTTTCTTGAGTAAAGTAAAGGTAGGTGGGTTTCTTGGGTAGGGTAATAGTGGATCTCTTGGGGGTAAAGTACTGTAAAGATGTGTCTCTTGGGTAAGATATCAGTGGGTCTCTTGGGTAAGGTATCAGTGGGTCTCTTGGGTAAGGTATCGGTGGGTCTCTTGGGTAAGGTATCGGTGGGTCTCTTGGGTAAGGTATCGGTGGGTCTCTTGGGTAAGGTATCGGTGGCTCTCTTGGGTAGGGTATCGGTGGGTCTCTTGCTTTAGGGTAAAGGTAGGTGTTTTGGGTAGGGTAATGGTGATTCTCTTGGATAAAGTAGGGTTGGTCTCTTGGGTAAATTAAAGGTGGGTTTCTTGGGTAAAGTACTGTAAAGGTGGGTCTCCAGAAAGGTATCCGTGGGTTTCTTGGTTTAGGGAAAAGGTGGGTCTCTTGGGTAATGTAAAAGTGAGTGGTTTTGTATCTTAGGATGAATGGTTAGTTGTAAACCCCTCATAAGGCTCATAAGTCTTAACCACTACCCAGCCTTTTAAACTCATGTTTCTAAACCACAATAAAAGTAGGGCCTTGTGGAAGGAAGGTTAATTTTTTTATAAATCTGGTACCAAGGAAGGGCTAAAGTTTTTTTGTCTTGTAATAGTGTACGTTTTATGGGTATTCACAAAATATCAAGAACACCATTTGCATTATGTGACTATTTTGATTTTCTGTACAGGGAAATTTAGTATGATGTAAATCTATATCTTATGGGGGCACTGTAAATAGCTATCCCACTTTACAGCTTTAGTGCCATTTCATAGGAGCAACAATAGTCTTTGTGTAGTTGTACATTCAATGAAAATACAGTTCTCTTTCATTTTCATACATTTTTAATTTAAACGTTAATGCATTAATATTTCATCCCCGTTGTAAGCAAAAACGTCTACTATGAACAAATGGAGTCAAAGTTTAGGCCAATGGGATTATTTACTAAAACCGGTGAGTGCAAACTCTGCTGCAGCTCTGCATAGAAACCAGTCAGCTTCCAGGTTTTATTGTCAAAGCTTAATTGAACAAGCTGAGGTTAGAACCTAATTGGCTAATGTGATTCTGATTCAAATTCTGAGTGCTCCAGTTTTAGTAAATCTACTCCAATTTTACATGTTATCTTAGGGAACAGAGCTTCTTCCAGATATAGAAGTGGTTTTGATGCAAACTATTTTTGGCCCAGCTGATGCTTTCACAGTGTATGGAAATGAAGATACCGGAGTATACAGTTTTTGAACACCAGACTCTATGGAAATGTTTACATAGTATTCCATTTTTTTTTTTTTTATAATGAGTTCAGAGATGGACTGGTACCTATTCACAGAATGTAGGATGAATTATGTTTTGTGCATATTACATAGCCGAAAAAAATCCTTTGGGGGATAGTTATGGCCCAAAAACAAACTATTCCTATTTACCTTTATGGCCATGTTATTGTACGTTTGTAGCAATCTGGAAATGATCAGTTAGAGATAGCCTGTACCTTTTTATTGCTGATATTAAATGTTAATTAATGAATCATGCTGGTTTATTCGGCTCCATTCAGGCAGGCTAATAAAGAGGGAAAGCTCAGTGACATAGTATTGTGAATCAGAAAACGACAATGAATTTAATAGACTCTGGAAAGAATGCAGTAAATTTCAATGTAACAATCCCTACTTTCCTTTTGGCACTGGCCAAGTAACGATAAACTGTGCTGTACTGGAATCTTCCCAGGTATTTTTAGAATGCAAGAATGCAGATGAATATGTGTGCCTAGGAATAACTCTGATAAATAAGTCGACATAATATGAATAAATATATACACACATCCTGACAAACTCCATCTGTTGTAAGGTTAATGAAGGCAGTTGGTCTTTCTATTCGGGACAGTGAAGGAATGTTTTCCTGAATGTGTGATACATTTCTATAGACTGTGCAGTTTTTTACGCCTGTTTACTAGCGACCGGTGAGGTCTGTTCTGTATTTTACAAAACTATTGACATTTTTTTTTTTTTTTGTCTTTTTGACTTTAGAAAAGAAATGACTGTTTTTTTTTATTGTATTCAGCATGCACTTCTTTTGTTTTCTTATTCCAGGCTGCACAAAGGTGTATACAAAGTCATCCCATTTGAAAGCTCACCTGAGAACACATACTGGTATGTGCATTTCATGTTCATTTTAATGGCTGAGTAAATATTATTCATAGAAACCTTCCCTTTTTGAAGTTTGTGTATTCAGTAGTCCCCCACCACCACCACTTTAAATCACCCATTCAGGGCTAATTTAGTCAGGTACTTTTTTAACTGCAAGAGTTAAAATAAATCACCTAGCTCTATATGTGTGTCCAACAAGGATATACTTAGAGATCCTGCTGCCTTGTGTCCATATGCATGATAATACCTTTTCTCTACTGGCTCCGCCTCTCTTATCCACATGATTATTTATGCATTACTAATGACGAGTAACTTGGTTTGCAAAGTAGCAGATAACATATTTTTTTTGTCCTTCTATCTATATATATATATATATATATATATATATATATATATATATATATATATATATATAGTATATACTGCAGAGAATCGGAATTTTAATTAATCCTGAATTACACGATTCATTGTTGATCAAACAAGTCTACAGACAAAAATAAGTGTTATTATAACTTAGGGGAGCCCCAAAACATCACAACTGAGTTACCTGAGCTGCAAAGAGTCCTGTGACTCCTCTGTAGAATAAAATAACCCAACAGGAAGATTTGTCATTCTGCACTGTATATTGTAGTTGGAGGAATCTGTTCAGCCTGCAGGATGAATGAAAAAATTCTAACATGGTATGTTGTAATAGTTCTGAAGAACAGAAATCAGTTAACTGAGCATTTTTTAAAAATTACTTGCCGCATATTTGTGTACTCCTTGTATTTCATATTCATTCGTCCTGTCTTTTTGTAGTGCTTTTAGTGATGGCTGTCTTTTTAATTTGCTTTCGTCTGTTTTACCAATAAACCAATAAAGTTATTTGAAAGGGTGTTGTAATCCACCTTGCAAACAAAGATTCATTTTAAAAACAACTAGAATATGTGCTTTGTATTGGCCACCATTTCATCTGTTTTTTTTAATGACCATGCTGTCACTGAAGCTTGAGGCAGTTGTAGCCTTGGAGACCCAATATGGGAACTTCCAAACCAGAAGATCAAAGCAAAGTCTACACTTTGTAGTATCACATGTTGGGCTACTCTGCTCTTGTTCCACAAGTTTGAATAACCTCTTCTATATATGTTATTAGAGGGATTTAATACTGGGGTGTGATGCACAACTGCCTTACTCTCATGGCTAAATGTACGTTTTTGGCTATGCTGGCCTTGTACAACCTCCTAATATTTTAATGCATGATCTTGACCTTATTAATAAAAGAAAATTGCCATATGGCCAGAGTTAATAGTCTTCCTTCCTTACACTCACATTTTAAAGAATATATATATCATATAAACTTAGTTTAGAAATTATGTAATTGGTAGTATATTAAGGTTTTATGAACAAGTTAATGGAAGTTAAGGTGCCCACAGTCATTAGATGACAGTCTCCCAATAGGGCTTTCAAAACCTTGTCTGACCAGTATTGTTTTTCTTCTGATAAGCTTGTGTTTTCAGCACCCCTCCCCTGCCATATTGACTTAAAGTGGTTGTAAAAGCTGAAAGTTTTTTACACTAATGCATTCTCTACATTAAGGTAAAAAAAAACTTCCAAGATTACTTACTTGGGCCTGATCTCAATCCAGTGCCATGCCCAAGAGCAACATCGCTGCTCTCGCTCCTCACTGGACATGGGGGCAGCAGCAGGAGTGATTGGCTCCTGCTGTCAGTCAAATCCAGTAAGGAGGGAGCAGGAGACAGGGCCAAACCACACTCTGTGTGTCTATAGACACACAGAGCATAGCTTGGGAGCGAGCCCGAACTTCTGCCCCTGTTAGCAAGCGCTTGCTATGGGGGCAGACACTAAAGAGGAGTGTACAACACCAGCAAGGGGACCCCAGAAGAGGAGGTTCGGGGCTGCTCTGTGCAATACCATTGTTATTTTAATAAAAATATATCCTTTAGTAATCTTTAAAACACATTTATCTTATATGAACATTCATATCTAGGGATATACTGATTTGTACAGATGACTGAAGGTGGTTGGATTGTGCCTGCACATCTGACCACCTTTTACTCTCTATAACCAGTTTTTTCACTTGGCAGGAAGACCACTATTATTGGGTGTTTTTTTAATTAATCAGCTCAAAAGCAGGGGGCAGTTGGCACATTGGGTGACTATTTGTGTTTAGTCTTATGGAGAAAGATGGGGCAACAGTTTAACAGGAGGAAAATCCTTAGTGACCAGACAATATTTTTACACTGGTCTGATCGCTGTTCTATATGATGACCCTTGTCTGCGTGTACCTAATAGACATTTAGAGCTAGTTCGATCCTTCATCATATTTCTAATTCCATGCCGATAGATTTGAGAGGACAATCATTCAATTCACCTATGGTGACTATACAGTTTTTGTGGGAGGTCCCAACCTTGATTGCTGGTCAGTATAATAGCTGTTGTCCTCCAGAAATCAACTGCAACAGTATGTACAACAGACACCAAAACAGTTGCATTTTATAAATCCCTTTACTTGGCTACTTAGTGGTATTACTTTAATTTACAACACAGTCATGCTATAATAGCTGTAGGAAATATATAGAAGTTCCAATAATTTTTCAGATACTGTAATATTTAGATATGGGGTAAAAATGGAATGAAACGCAATTTTGATTATTTCAGATAAGATTTGTGCTATCTCTGCAGAATCTTTCCGTTCGGATATCCTTTGAGAAGATGGAAATGAGTTCAGTTAAAGCCACCACCCTGTCAGACAAACCCACCTTTTTATTGCTATGGGCAAAATTTCTTGTTTTAGGCAGTCCATTTAAATGGCATTGTTTTTGTGTGTAAAGAGGGTATCTGAAAGCTGGAGGTTACTATGGAAATTCTAACTTTGATAATTGAAGCAGTTATCTCTAACAGCCACTGTAAAAAAAATAAAAGAACTAGAACAAAGGTCTGTTTAGCAGACTGTTACCATGCTAAACAAAAGTGTTCTAAGCAATATGTGTTTTCATAATCCCAGCTTAAACATATTGCTATACAGTGTCCCACACAGTTATTGAGTCATTCCTTTATCTACTACCCTTGGCTCAGCAGAGATCATGGCTAATTTATGGGATTAGCAAAAACCTATTCTTCTGGATGTCTCTACACTACTACACAGACAAGACGTTAGTGTCTGAAAAAACCTTTTAGTCTTCTCCCTTCAAGGAAGCATCTCATTTACCATTCAAAATAATATACTGTATACTTTATATACAGTATATATAATTAGTGTAATTTTTTTTTTGCGTATATGCCCAAAACTAACCCTAGGTGCTGTAATCACTTGAGCTTGACCATTGTTTTATGCACTGGTCTAAACTGTGAAAAAAGTAAGTGATATGCTAGGTTTAGGCTGAATTATTCATGGGGGTTGTACACTTCCTAATGTCTTCTCTAATTAACCTTAACAAGTTTAGGTTTCATCAATCAATCGATGTTTTTAAACAGTGTGCACAATGGTTCTTAGCACTTATGACTCCATGTTTGTTTTTCTGTTGAGGTGACAAGCCATTTCCAAACCTTTTTTTTACATATTACATAGCTATTTCATATCTGCTTTTATTTTTTAGTACAACTAGAAACCTTTTTTTTTTTTTTTTTCTTTTTAATCTTTAAAACACTATTATTAAACTAAGTTGCCTTCAAAGCAAATCCTATATTAATAAGATGGAACCATGCAATGCAATTTAACAAAGCTTTGTTTAATAGGTCTTAAATGGCCTTGGGGTATTCACCAGTCCTGTTTATCTGGCCAAACTTGTTCTATAGTAATCGCTGACTATTCAAACTGCATTTTCTACCTAATCTTCGTTTCATGACAATGCCTTTAAATCACCTGTGAATGATAACCTCCCTTTACAATCTGTCATTTTAAATAAAATAAAAGGCCCGGAGCAAAGTTTGTCTGGTGTAAGGAGTCAAAACACTTTCAGAATTTCTTTTGTATCAAAAACCCCTTCGTCTTTTATTATTTATTCAACCTTGTTGGTCCTTTCAATCAGTTTGAATAGCTCCTAATAGATTTTGTTTCAGAACAAACACAGACAAGCTCTAATGCTCTCTTTAGCTGGGAGAATCCTAGTTCTATGGAGTCTTCAGGATTTCACTAAGAACTAAGCTGGCCAGTTTCTTGGCAGAACTCAGCTTCTTGGGAACATTTTGTTCATTGCAAAATAGCTTTACAACATAGCAGCTTAAAAAGACATAATTACAGAACCTCATCAGAGAGGCTGTTCCTCTAAATAAAATAAATTACCTCCCAATGGAAGAAAGCCGATCTAAAACCAGAGCAGGAGTGAAAGGATGACATGTGATTTAATGTAGTGTTCAGTTGCATTATTTTATTACCATTTCTATAATGTGAGAATATGACTTTTTCCATTACTTGGTCATTGTGCAGTTCATTCCAGTTTGTCCACAAATAAAAAGCCATATAAATATCACATTCATTCTTTAACAAGAAATATGAGATTTTCTGTTTATAGAGTTCCAGTATATTTTGATGTCCTATACAGATCGTACAAATATAAAACATACTGCTTATATCTAAACATATAACAAATTAGCAATAGACACAGGGATTGTTTTACTAAAACTGGAGAGTTAAAACTCTGGTGAAGATATGCATAGAAACCAATCGGCTTCCAGTTTTTTGTGTGATATTAAAGGTAAGTATTTTTTTTTTTTTTGTTTGTTTTTTTTAAAATAACAAACATGTCATACTTACCTGCTCTGTGCAGTGATTTTGCACAGAGAAGCCCCGATCATCCTCTTCTCGGGTCCCCTACTGGTGCACATGGCTCTCCCTCCTGCAGTGCCCCCACAGCAAACAAGTTTGCTATGGGGGCTCCCAAGCAGGCTTGCTTCCGAGCTGCTGCTCTGCATGTCCCTTCCCACACAGAGCTGTTACTCAGCCCTGGCCTTTCTCTTCTCTCCACATTGGCTTACTGGCTGTGATTGACAAGGAGGAGGAGAGT